GGAACAAATTGCAGTATGTGTTCTCCTGTGCGAACCTGTCCTATTAGTTGGCGAAACTGGAACCGGTAAAACGGCTACTATTCAATATTTAGCGGAACTTATGCATCAAAACCTTATCGTTGTTAATTTATCACAGCAAGGTGATAGTAGTGATCTTCTTGGCGGATTTAAGCCAGTTGATGCAAAAGTTATAGTTACACCCTTAAAAGAGGAGTTCGATAAGTTATTTGGAAAAACATTTTCAGTGCGAAAAAATTCTCGTTTTTTGGAAACCGTACATAAGATGTACGTTACCAAGAAATATCATAAATTAATTTCCTTAATACAAGAGGCAATTAAATTGGCCGAGAAAACTTTTAATAATGACCAAAATCAAGATGAACAAAAAAATTCATCTCGAAAAATATCAAATCCGGATTTAAGAAATCAATGGAAATTATTTGAGAATTCTATTAAAGAATTTCAACTTCAGCATGATAAAATACGTAACAAATTTGTTTTTAGTTTTGTTGAAGGTTCTTTGGCGAATGCGATTACAAAGGGTGACTGGATTCTTTTGGACGAAATTAATTTAGCTTCCACAGAAACTTTAGAATGTTTAAGTAGCATTCTTCAAAATCCAGAGGGTTCTTTGTTATTAATTGAAAAGGGTGATTCTAAACCGATCATTCGTCATCCAAATTTTAGAATTTTCGCATGCATGAATCCTGCAACTGATGTGGGCAAGCGAGATCTTCCACCTGGATTGCGTAGTCGGTTTTCAGAATTTTATGTTAATTCACCTGATAATAGACAAGATGACTTGTTATGCATTGTAAGAAAATATTTATCAGGATGCACTCATGGTGAAGAACGTGTTTGTATCGAAATAGTTAATTTTTATTTAAAAGTGAAAGAATTGCAACAACAACATAAACTTGCAGACGGATCTAATCAACGTTCCCATTTTAGTATGAGAACTCTTACTCGCGCATTGAGTGTTGTATCCCAAATCGTATCAATATATGGATTAAGACGTTCTATTTATGAGAGTTTCTGTATGACATTTCTGACACAACTGAATAAAGAAAGTGAAATAATAATGCAAGGATTGATTGAAAATTTTTTATTGAATGGTGTTAATAATCTCAAGTCTCTCATTATGCAAATTCCTAGACAACCGTCAAACGGTGATCATGTTCAATTTGGATGTTATTGGTTAAAAACTGGTCAATATCCTCCAAAAGAAGTATCACATTATATTTTAACGCCTTCTGTTATGAAAAATTTAAACAATTTAGCTAGAGTTGTCATGAGCAGTAAATTTCCGGTGTTACTTCAAGGCCCTACCTCAGCAGGAAAAACAAGCATGATACATTATTTAGCTCAAAGAACTAATCATCGATTTATGAGAATTAACAACCATGAACATACTGATCTTCAAGAGTATCTTGGTAGTTATATTACAAATAGCGAAGGTAAACTTGAGTATCAAGAAGGAATACTTGTTGAAGCAGTAAAGAAAGGTTATTGGCTCGTGTTAGACGAATTAAATCTCGCACCTACTGATGTATTAGAAGCTTTAAATCGTCTTTTAGATGATAATAGAGAATTATTTATTCCAGAAACACAAGAAATGATTAAACCACATAATGATTTTATGCTTTTCGCAACCCAAAATCCACCTGGATTATATGCTGGGCGTAAAGTACTTTCTCGTGCATTTCGTAATCGGTTTGTTGAGATACATTTCGATGATATACCAGAAGAAGAATTGGAAACTATCCTTTCAGAAAGATGCGTTATTGCACCATCTCACTGTAAACGTATGGTTCAAGTTTATAAAAAACTCATGGAGCGGCGTCAAAGTACACGAATATTTGAAAAACAACATGGATTTATTACACTGAGAGATTTGTTCCGTTGGGCCAAAAGAGGTGCAGTAGATTATAAAGAATTAGCTGAACAAGGTTACATGCTCTTGGCAGAAAGAGTAAGGAAGCCTAACGAAAAATTAATAGTTAAACAAGTATTAGAAACGGTGATGAAGGTAACTATCGATGAAGATAGTATATATGATTGCTCTAAATTGGAAGACTTTAAAATGTATCGGCAAAATGATATTGTATGGACAAAAGCTATGAAGCGATTGTTCACGCTTGTTGCACAGTGTTTAAGGTTTAATGAACCTGTCTTATTAGTTGGTGAAACTGGATGTGGCAAAACATCAGTTTGTCAGATGTTGGCTGAAGCTAGGCACACTGACTTATACACTTTAAATTGTCATCACAGCACTGAGACTGCAGATTTGATAGGTGGACAAAGACCGTTGAGGAATCGAGATGTTTTGAATTCTGAACTTAAACGCGATATCTCTGATTATCTAAAAAGTTATGGACAGCAACATGATATAACTTTGGAAAAGCTTGATTTATGTGACTTAGTTAGACATCTTGATCTTGCTTGCAAAGATGAAGAACAGAACTTACATATTGACAAAGATAAAGCGAAAAACTTGTCGCTGAGATGTAAGCAATCTTGTACTTTATTTGAATGGAATGATGGACCGCTCGTTAAGGCTATGAAAAGCGGATCATTTCTATTATTAGATGAAATTTCTTTGGCTGATGACTCTGTTATAGAGCGTCTTAATAGTGTTCTTGAGCCCAATCGAAGTTTGACTCTACCGGAAAAAGGGGGGGTCTGTATTGAGGAATTTGTCGCAGAGGAAGGGTTTCAATTTTTAGCAACTATGAATCCTGGAGGTGATTATGGTAAAAAAGAGTTATCTCCTGCTTTAAGAAACCGATTTACAGAGATTTGGGTTCCGCCAATGTCAAATGAAGATTTGTTGCAAGTTATTTGTGCACAACTTATACATCATGCGCCAAATAATATTGGACGATCAATCTTAGAATTTATAAATTGGTTTTCCCATATGTTTGGTGATCAGAGAATGATCATTAGTCTGAGAGATATTTTATCATTGGTAAATTTTATTAATGTCACTATCGAGCAGTTTGGTCCCAAAGAATCTCTTATTCATGGTGGGTGTCTAGTTTTCTTGGATGGACTTGGATCGAGTTCCGCATCATGTACATTATTATCAGGGCAAAATTTGAAAGATTTTCGAATAAAGTGTTTAACTAAACTGAAAGAATTAAGCAGTGATTTTGCTGCTTTTGAATCAAATATCAATTTTGATTGTGAACCGATTAGAGTACATTCTACAGAAACACATTTTGGTATTAATAATTTCTTTATACCAAAAGGGCCACATATATCTCCCGATAATACTTTTACTCTGCAAGCACCTACAACATCGGATAATGCTATGCGTATTCTTCGAGCTATGCAAGTTCGGAAACCCATTTTACTAGAAGGTAGCCCAGGTGTTGGTAAAACTAGTTTGATCACTGCATTAGCGGAAGCATCCGGGCATAAACTTGTTCGTATAAACTTATCTGATCAAACAGATTTGATAGATTTGTTTGGTTCAGATCTTCCTGTTGAAGGCGGAGTAAGTGGTGAATTTGCATGGCGAGATGCACCGTTTTTACGAGCAATGAAATCAGGTGATTGGGTGTTATTGGATGAACTTAACCTTGCATCACAATCTGTATTGGAAGGCCTCAATTCTTGTTTAGATCATCGTGAAGCGATATATATACCAGAGTTGGATAAAGAATTCATTTGCACTAAGGAATTCCGTGTTTTTGGTACACAGAATCCTTTGCATCAGGGTGGTGGTAGAAAAGGTCTCCCTAGATCATTTCTTAATCGATTTACTCAGGTCTATATTGAACAACTTACGAATAATGACCTGTTTTTTATTTGTAAGAGCTTATTTCCACAAGTAAAAGATACCATTTTGGAAAAAATAATAAAATTTAATACACGGATAAATGAAGATATAATGATTAAATCGTTGTATGGCAAAAGTGGTGCCCCATGGGAATTCAATTTACGAGATGTATTCCGCTGGCTTGAATTACTTTGTAAAGATTATGGCCTTGGTTTTTATTCTGCACCTGATGAATATTTAGATCTCATCTATCTTCAGAGGATGAGAACTGAACGCGATAGAGATTGTATTGTGACAGCATTCCATGAAATTTTTGATCAGAATTATCAACGGCCAAAATACCCATATTATCATATCGACCCTAAATTTATTCAAGTAGGTCATTCACTTTTAGAGCGTAGAGATTCTTATGTTAGTCATTCTTCGATAAATATGTTACATATTCTGCAATCTCAACTTCGTCCATTGCAATCATTAATGAAATGTGTTGAAATGAATTGGATGGTCATATTAACTGGTCCTGAAGCGTCTGGGAAAACTAATTTAGTAAGACTACTTTCAAGCCTTACTGGAAATCCACTTGAAGAATTCATAATGAATAGTTCTGTAGATGCTATTGAATTATTAGGAGGGTTTGAACAATTGGATTTATCTCGACATCGTCAAATTGTAATGAATGATTTATTAAATTTGACCAATGAAGTTTCGAAAGTTGTCCTTTTGATAGCACATGCACAATCAAGTTTTAATTGCCAAACTGATAAAGTTGTGCAAATTTTGATGCAACTTAATCATATATTATTCACCTTAAAAAATTATTTCAAATTTAACATGTGCTTGGATTATTCAATAGTTGATTATTTATTGTCAATACTTGAACAAACCATTTCAAATTATGGTTTTGCCTTAACAGCTCAATGGCAAATGATCTTTGACAAAGTTACCAGTCTAAAATCTAAGGAAAATGAACCTGTTGCAGGTCTCTTTGAATGGGTTGATGGTGTAATAATTAAAGCATTGCAAAATGGTCATTGGTTACTAATTGATAATGCTAATCTCTGCAATCCATCTGTTCTTGATAGACTTAATCCTCTACTTGAACCAAATGGTGTCTTAATGGTAAATGAACATAGTATGATTAACGGTGAAGTTAGGATAATTCGTCCTCACAAAAATTTTAGGCTTTTTATGACCATTGATCCAAAAAACGGTGAATTATCACGCGCAATGCGAAATCGTGGTGTTGAAATAGCACTATCTAAAACAGACTTGATTGAAAATCGGCAAGATTTAACAAAGCTTGCTAACAGTTTCGGGCTTTGGCACCCGAATTTTTCTGCTGCAATGGAAAAATTTATAAGCGAGATTAATTATATGTCATTATCTAGTAAATTTCGACCTACCCTAAGATGGTACATTATGATTGTAAAAATGGTAAATGAAAAAATTCAGCGTGGTGATAATTTTTTGCGAGCATTAATGTTATCGTTGCAACAAGCCTGTCATTGTATTGATAATGACGGTTATGATAGCTTTGAAAAGTATTTTCACGATTTTATAAAAACCTATGAATTTGATAAGTCATATTCTTCACCCAACATGTTATCACCATTTATTGTTGATGGTGATCTATACAAGAATGAATCACTTTTGGCTAAAGTTTGTTTGCAAGCCTCTCATCTCTTATTTATTGTGTACACATGTGGGATGACTGTTGGCCATGATACGAAATCGCATATATCAAATTCGTTACTTGTGGCCAGTGAATGCTTTGTCGAGATGACTTCTTTAGAAGATTTTCCTGTACGACAACATTGGCTTAACTTTGTTTCTTCAGCAATGCAATCTTCGCATTTATTAGCTAATAATAAGCAAGCTTCCTTGGATTTTACTCGATTCCTGCTAAATAAAATTATAGATCATCCACTTGCTACGCAAATTACCGACATTAAAAGTCGATTAGCTCATGAAATCGGTCTTGATGCGTCCTTTATGTCATATCAGGTTTGTTTTAAGAATTTGTTTTTTTATTTATTTGATGTCAATATCGTGAAAAGCTAATTTACATTGTTTTTGAATTATTAGCCTCTTGACATTACAAGTAATTTTCCATTAATCCAATCATTCGAAGCATATGCTTCAAACTCTTATGATAACTCGATAACTGATCCAGCTTATCTGTTGTGGAAAGAATATTCTTTAAAAATTGAAACACTTTCTTTATTGAAGCATATTCTGCGAGATGAATATGTTGAAAATATGGTTTATGAACAAGCTTCTCAACAAAAAGTCTCAAAAATGACTTTAGCTCAGCAGTCATATTGCTATCACCAAGGTAGAATTTCTGAGAGCCAGCTAAATGACAAGATTGTTGGGATTATATATCCTTTTTTGGAAAGATCAAAACAGTGTATCCTATCTTTCCTTGATAGAGAGTTAAATAATGACGAAGTATATTTTTAACTTACTTTGACTGCTCTGCCACTTTTGTTAGAATTGGATGCAAAATAATCAACAATTATTTATTATTCTAGTTGCCTTTGTTGTTTGATTTTTTAAATCAACGAAGTTTCTTATGGGAATGTTTACAACAATCATCTCTCGACATTGGAGAGTTATCAACATGCACAAAAATGCTTTATGGAATAACAGTCCTGTTATATGATAAACATCAAGAAATTATGCGTCCTTTACATGATATTTTAGATACCATGACTGAAGCAACAGCATTGAAAACCGGATTATTTATGGATGTGCTATGGAAACATTTTCATCACATTTCTCTTAAAAATATGGACCTTTTTCTATTTGAACGGGAGTTGTTCTCAATTGAAAATGAATTGAATAAATACGATACAAACCAAGATGGCAAGAATTTTATATATATATATATATATATATATATATTTTT